GCCGACTTTCTCTTTCATGCAAGCCATTTCCGAAATCACTCAATAATGTTGTGGACGGTGAGAGAATACAAACAACAGCGTGATAGTTATTTTCAGGGGAATCCACAGTGTTGTCAAATTTCACGGTTTCCAGTCATTCATCGGTGTATTGTGTGGAAAGCCTGAATTTATTCTTCGACATACTATTTCACTGCAACACAAGTCCTCGCGAGATATGGATATTTGGTTGGTTATACCTAGACTGCAGTTTACACGTCTCCCTGTCATGCCTCCTTGCATGATGACTCTCATGAAAAAAGAGTGGACTCGACTTCTCCCTCGTCAACATTATTCCCGTTAGAAAGCTAACATCCAACCCTACACATTATGATCTCCGATGCAAACATGTCACCACGAACTCGTGAATATTCCCAGATACCATTTTACATACGGACTACATATCATCTAGAATGTTGGTCTTTGACTTCATTCAACAGAAGTGGGATGTTGTCAATGTTCGTGACTGTGTGACCACATGCGACACGTGTCAATTTAGTCATGAATAAACACACATGATTTATAAAACTATTTATTTGTTACTGAAAGAAACAGAATCAATGTCTATGCACTACGAGTAATACAGGAGAATGTGATTTGATTTAATCATGGAGGAATAATTGTAGGCGAGCAGAACACAATGTACGTGCCTTTGAAGAGATCGTGTTGAAACGTTATTCGGTAATACGTATCACTGGTGGCGGTGGCTTTTCAAAGAGTGTCTGTCAAAAGAGAAAATGGGCAAAAAATCAATCAAATTGTTGTTTGTAAATTGTAATGAAATATACTTGTGGGATGATATTGTGACGATGGAAATAAAGTGTGATAGCTGCTCGAGAGAAGTTGATTGGTGTTATTGCTAGTTACAAGGAGAAAGACCTTCGCTGATTTTATATCATAATCACTTACAAAATAACAATTAGGACACCAATCTTTCGGCGGTTCGTCATCCATACGTTCGCGCTAATAAAGCATAAAAACAATTGACAATATTACTCATCTACGTGATCAGTATGAATACATATGCTTGGATTATTACTCAGCTGAGTCATTTATCGAATTCACCTTCCTGACCAAAGGAAATACCAACCCACCTGTCGATGATACACAAGATGAAATTATCAAATACGCCATTGCGAGAACACAACATTCTCCACACATATATGTTTGCGAGTACAAATTCACAAAATGAATGAGAGACTTACAAGGTAACTATGTATCTCCTATTCATGTAATGAAACAATTCACACTGTTATACACTCATATAATGGTTAAAGATATACACTTGAATTATTCAGCTGAGCCAATTGTCAAATTCACCTTCACGACAAAATTAATTAATTTCGACACACAGTATTCTTGTAATAAGTTTGTTGATGTGTACAAGTTAACAGAATTCAAGAGAAGTTAGGTGACTTACCGATTCGCTGTATTTTTTATACTGAATAGGTATGCACACGGTGAATAAGTGTATTTACGCAGGTTAAATGTGAATTCGTGAAGGTGAATAGTTCCTCATAACTATTACCTCACAGCTTTCATCACTGAACATTGGGTGCTTGTGTTCGTTGTTTCAGTCGACCGGTTAGAATGAGAATGGCGGTCAAGCTTCCACGACACTCGCCGAGCTGTCGCATAACACTCAGTTGTTTGCACACGTACTCTAGTCAGCTGAGTAGACATTGCTGACCTGCGATTCTCGTCTCGAAATACACAGGTGCATTATGAAATAGGCGCATCCTGTGAACTCGTCAACAACCCTTATCTCTTCAAAACTACTCACTTTTCAAAGTGAATTCAAAGTCGTGGATAATCTGTGAATATGCATTGCACACTGTGCTTGTGCGTTGCTGACCAGTAGATAATCTCTGCTCTCACCCAACATCCAATATTTCATAACACAGTATTGTGTGAAATGTCTAAATATATTATAGTGAATGGTATTCTGGTATATACGAATGGACATTGTCTCGATGAAGCAAGCCATTACGGATGCTACCACTGCCATCTCGATGGGCCTTGCTTGTTCTCATGGAGACAACAGCTAAATTCAATATTCGTGAAGATACACACGAAATTTTACGCAGGCCGAGTTTTTCTGCATATTTCACGAGGACACTCGGAGATACACTCATCAGTGAAGTTGTTTAATCATAATCGTAGTAATAGTGCCAATAGTGATAAAAATAATTTTGTAAATAGCATTAGTATTAGTAGAAGTAGTAGTAGTACTATCAGTAGTATTGAATAGGAAGTTGAGTAAATGGCCACATTTAATACTTCGATACTTACGCAATGACAATCGTTACGGCCAAAAAACGTATAGAAGGTTACTTCTCTCATATCTGGCCCGAGCTACAATGTGTTAAGAAAAGCATGTCAGCGTGAATTAGCGAATATAAACAGTCATGCTTTGTGGATAGTTTACTCTATTTACATGCATACACGATCGTTTTCTAGTGGAAGTGTACATGTATGAGTGGTGAAGAAAGTGTCGGGCATGATTGACATACTCGTCCGAAGCACACGCGATTGATCAATCAACAGCTAGTTGTCACATGAACACCCATGCAATTGTGTTCATCCGATCGCGACAATAATGACACCATCACGAGTAAATGAGCGCTAGTTCAGTTTGACTGAAGTAGCGGGAGGTTGTGACAGCTGCACTGTGCATCCAATGCGTGTTTCATTGCCTTCAGTTTACTCAAAACGTAGATCAGGTAACACTGACTATGCAATGATACCATTGTATTATTTTTATCTGCAGTCTGATCACTGTAATTCTCCACTTTGACGACATGGTCACATTCAAACACAAGCCGAAGACTGTTTTCACTAGTAAACACCGGCCTGCTTACAACTTGAACTATCAAAAGCTTCCATCTGTCTATTGCATATATTTTCTCTCGTTCGGTTTGTCTGAATCGATTGAGATATGAACTCCAGTGGTATTGACTACCCTCGTGTGTATTTAGAGTGCTTGCACGCCGCTCATCTGCAAGTCACTACTAAACTTGAGGAGTGGCCTGATTGTGGGTGTCATCGTGTCATCATCAATACATGAGAAAGCTGTTCTTCATTCACGTCGTTGGGTCTCAAAATATACTTCCGAACATCTTACAACTGGCTTTCAACCACATATCGTGGATATTTCGAAGGAGACAAAACAGACACATCATCATGGAACGGTTTGTGCTTCAGCTCAGAGACCATTGTGTCACAGGATATACTGTCAATTACTATTTTACTCGAAGATATTGTTCGAAGGGAATTCGCCATGCAGCAAACTCCTCTGAAAATTGTGTACAATTTATAAATACTGTCGAGAGTTATGATGTTGTTTCGACTTTTGATTAATAGTATTACTGACACACACACACGCACATTTATTCCACAACCATAAATGGAGGATTATCAGTTCAGTAAATGTATTTTGTATAAGCGTACAATGTCAGATTGTTGTACTCTGATATTTCTATTGCGATGGGGTTGATCATCTGTGGTATGTTTGCTGCCCTCGAGGTCAACCTTCCCTCAGTCCCTGCCTCAGAACCAGACGGAAAGATGGTGAAACTGTAGACTAGCTGAGTTGGGCGTCCGAAAGTAACGTGGATGAGATCATGTTAGGAGAAGCCTGAAACTGGTTAGCGAATGTAGGGTGGGATGAAGAGGACTACAGAGAACAGGACGAAATCGAGACGTGCTGTCGACGCCCTATGTGACACTGAGAACCCATGGGAATGATAACACTATTATTATCATTATTTAATAATATCTTCTAAATTACCCACTCCAAATTATCCTCGTATCAACTAACAATGAACGAAACAATCTTCCTCGAGTGCGTACTTTTCATTTTTCTCTAGTCAAAGTAGACGAGGTGTGCTCATTTCATCTTGCAAATATTCGCTAGTCAAAGGCAGTCACAAGGAAATGAAAATCGAAGAAGAATGCAAGTACAATGATATGTAGGTTGTCGACTTACCGGCTGCCTTTTCCCCCGTTGGCTGTACAATCATCAATAAACAAGTCTTGTTACATATTTTCAAATTTCAAAACAACAACACAAGCGATGTAGAATAGGAAAAGACGGTTGGATTGACGAGAGTGTATTCTGTAATACAAAATGCCGTCGGCGTATCTCCCGATATATCCCATTGCTAGTAGTTCATTCTCACACGAGCCTTTCGATTATTTGTCGTATTCTTATCGCTGTCAGTGGCGTGCATCACACACATTTGACAATCACACTTGTTTTGTCATGTAATTTCAAATATTCCTAGTTGGCTTGACGCCGAAAACAAATGTCTTCATGACGAATGCAAGTATTTCGCAATTTCTCTCATTACCAATGGGTACGTGTCGGGGAATCTAGTGAAATGCAACCACACATCATGAAGTATAATAGTTTGACAATATGAATGATTGCATGTTGATGAAAATGACTCCTCATAAGAAGGGGATGGGCGGAACCGTCCATCTGGATCATGACGTGTGCTTGTCCAATGTGTTTCCAACTCTCTGATCACAAACGCAAATCGGAAGACTGAGAGACAGAGAGATGGAGGCGCATAAGCAGTAAAAAACCTACGGAGGAGAACGCTAGAATTGTAACTCATTTTGTGTAAATCTACGCGGTATTCACCAACTAAATCTCGAAAGATGCCCATTTATTCATAAGCAAAAACACAGTTTTTGTTCAGCGAAGAAATTTCTTTTCAACGACTTCATTTACAAGCTGTACAGTCGTATTTATATTACAGAAAAAGGTTATTAAGTGGCACTAAATAATTGCTCAGTCAATGTACGTATATGTGATAAAAGTTATAAGGGGTAGAGTTGAAGTGGATAAATTACAAACATATGAAAGATTGTTCTATAACAAAAATGTCAAGTGTTGTCTAAAAAATTATGAAAATTAGGAGTACGATTACGATAAAAATGAAGATGTGAAGTGAAGCGGAAAGAATTCAAGTGGTAAAATAAAATAAAAACTAGAAAGAAAATTATTATGACCAAGGTAAAGAAAGGGGTTTGACAAAACGCTTTTGAACACATAATATAGGTTTCTGTTCATGTATAGCTAAAGCTTCGGCTATGCATAAGTGCAGAAAACGTAAACTTTTGGATCGATTGGATTTTGCCATGTATATAACTTTGAAAGATGAATCACGTGGGGCTAAATGACCAGACTCTAACAGGTGATCACAGATAGACGACTTTGCAGTTCTACGTTCGCCTTTCATTAACCAAACCGGATAGTGTTCAGCTACACGTTTTCGGAGATTACGCTTACAACGTCCAATATAAACAGCTCCACAAGAGCAAGTAAAAGAGTAAATGCACATAGATGTGGACAAAAGCGGTAATCTATCCTTGACGTTTTGTCTGATCATATTTCGGCTGGTAAAAACTAGTTGCAGGTCAGCTGCAGGAAAAGTACGTTTAATACATTTAGATAAACGATTTTTAATCAATTCTGAAATGGTGTCACCTTTGAATGCAAGACTCATAAACAGCTTTTTCTTTGGTACTGTGACTTGTCTCAGGGTGGATTCTTTCTTGATGTTACGTTCAATGAACCTTGTGGGATAACCATTATTAAGGAGATTTGATCGACGGTTGTCTAGTTCCCTATCGATTGTCTCTGGAGAGCAGATTTTACGAATTCTGGAGCATAAGGAGTGAATAAGATTTCTCTTTCTCCCTAAAGGTACCCAACTGTTGAAGTTAGTGTACTGCCCAGTGAATGTTGGCTTTCGGTAAATCGACCTTAGAAGCGTTCCATTCTCTCTTCTATCTAGCTTAACATCAAGAAAGTGAAACGAAGAATCCGACTCTTCTTCGGTCGTGAAAAGCAAAGATGGGTGAGAACCATTAAATATTCTAAGAAGTTCAGCAGTTGAAGTGTTTTCATCACATACAATGAAGGTATCATCAACATATCTTTTATACATAAACAGACTATCGATGGTTTCTTTTAGTGGGCCATTCTCCAAGCTAGCCATGAAAACGTCCGCTAAGAGCGGTCCTAAAGGGGACCCTATGGCGACTCCATCTCATTGGTTGTAGATGACATCATTAAATCTAAATTGCACATTCAATGTGCATCTCAATAGTAGTTGTTTAAGATAATCAGTTGGTAAGCCAATGTTCATGTTATTTGATTCAATATACTCGCATAGATAGCAGATAGTGTCTACTAGTGGTACATTTGTGAACAATGAACAAATATCTAACGAAATCATATGCTTACCATTCACATTAATTTCATCAACACAACTGACGAAGTCAAAAGTGTCGGAAAGACTATGTTTGTAACAACAGAAGACAAGGGCTGGCAACAGATCGTTTTATTACGAAAATCAACACGTATTTATATATATTTTATGTGCATTAATAAGGCTTATGCAAGCAGAAAAAGGCAGTCTTCTGATTGGTTGTTTCTCGGAAGTTAAGCAGACAAACACAGTCTTATGATTGGTTGTTTTCGATATTTCTCGGAAAGTAGAGCCATCTATCTGCGAATCATATTTGTCCACATTTAAGTTTGCTGTGATTGGTTGTTGAAACAGCCTTGTTCATATTTTCTCACGGCCCATATTAGTGACCTAGACATTAACGTAGATTAGTGCCAACCAATCGGCTAGCAGCCTGCTCTCACCACACTCGTCCCCCCGTCAAATAGCTTCGTGCGCAGACGTTCCGACCTTCTGGGTGCTACATCCTCTAGTTGAGGATTGTTACTGACCGGCTTGTCCCACTGTACCCATCTTTGGAGCTGACTGGCGTTAACTCGTTTCTGTTTATCACCTCTTCGGATGGTATATACTTGACCCCGTCTTTTTGTGATTGTGTATGGTCCTTCCCACTTTGGAAGGAGTTTCCGTGAACCTAGCCCGCCTCCAACTGTATATCTCCTGTCTCTACACTTCACTTGGTCCCCGACTGCAAAGGTAATGCACTGCGTCCTTTCTTTCATCTGAGACTTCGTGACATCACTGCGCTGCTTCCGTATTACATTCTTGACTGCCTCTTTCCTCTCTGCTTTTAATTTCGTCGTACTCCACTTTTGGTGCATGGGCCAGGTCTCATTGTGTACCGGTAATCGTGGTTTTCTACCATACATCAGTTGGAAGGGTGACTTCTTCGTTGTTTCCTGAGTGGTAGCCCGATGTGTTAGTAAAATCAGTGGAAGCTCCGTTTCCCAGTTCCCGCCCTTCGAGGCCAGCCACTCCTTCAGTGTACGGTTGTTTCTCTCCGTTAGGCCATTCGTTTGTGGATGGTATGGGGTCGTTCTGATCCTCTTGATGCCCAGCTGTTGCAAACGGGAAGTAAACTCTTCACTCTCGAAACAGGGACCTTGGTCTGTCAGTATTGTCTTCGGTACGCCGTGGTCTGCAACAATGTGTCTAACTACTGCATCTGTCACGGTTCTTGCACGTTGGTCTGGGATTGCTACGGCGTCTACCCATCGTGTCGCGTGTTCCGTCATCACCAAGAGGTACTGATTACCATTGGATGTCTGAGGAAATGGACCCATGACATCTACGGACCACAAGTCACCTATCGCGGTAACTGGAATCGACTGAAGTGGTGGTCGTATATACCGGTCACCTTTCATCAGCTGGCACCGTGGACATCCAAGTACGTATCTTGCTACGTCTTCTCTCATACCTGGCCAGTACATACTTTGTCTTAGGAGGTCGGTCGTTCTGGCCACGCCTGTATGCGCTAGCTGGTGACATTCTTCTATCATGTCGTGGCGCGACGATTGAGGTATGACAGCCAGCCAGCTTCCGTCGTTCTCTCGCCAGGTCAGAGTCCCGTAGGCATTCACTCTGAGTCGATCCCTCTGTCTGAGTAGTGTGGTTAGCTCCTTACTCGCCGTAGTTTGATCCACTTCTATTCCGTTGGTGATCACCTGTATTACTGTATTCAGCGTATCGTCCAACCTCTGCCTACGTGCAAGTCTTAGTGGGTCTTGTTCTACTGCATGCACTCCGTAAGCGACCTCGGGCAACTCAGACTCATCTTCTGGTCTCGATAACAAATCTGCCAAGACATTTTCACTTCCAGGAACGTGTGAGATCGTAAAATCGTACTCCTGAAGACGCAACATCCACCGTGACAACTTCCCCCGTGGGTCTCTCGCTGTCTTCAAAAATTGTAGCGGCTTATGATCAGTTTCGATGTGGAACCGCCGGCCGAGTAAATAAGGTCTCCATTTGTCGACTGCCCATACCATTGCTAAACATTCTTTCTCTATCGTTGAATACTTTCTCTCTGTGAGGGTCAAAACCCTACTGGCATACTCAACGATTCCCTCGTCCTGTCTTAGGACCGCACCTATAGCGTAGTCACTGGCATCTGTGCACACTGTGAACTGTCTTCCTGGCACAGGTAGTTTTAGCGTCATTTGTTGGTGGTCGAGCAGCTGTTTAATTCTGTCGAATGTCCTCTGCGATTCTTCCGACCAAACAAACTTTGGCTCACCTAGTAGCCTGTATAGAGGGGCTGCTATCTCATTGAAGTTCTTCACGAAGCGACTATAAAACGCTGCTCTACCCAAGAATTGTCTCAGTTTTCTCTTTGAATTCGGGGCTGGAATCGTTTTAATCGTCAAAATTTTCTCCGGCAGTGGTTTAATCTCACCATTTCCCACTTTATGTCCCAACAGAGTAACATTCTTTTTGGCTATCTGAGACTTGGTTTTGTTGACGCGTAGTCCAAACTCTTCGATGCGTCGCAGCACGGCTTCTACATGGTTGACGTGATCGTTTTCGTTTTGACTGTATATGACGAGATCATCACCATAAACCTCCACGTTTTTCAAGTTCCTAAGTAATAGCTTCATCAGTCGTCTGAACGTAAACGGTGCACCTGCTAGTCCAAACGGCATGCGTTTAAATCGATATTGTGTCTGACCCACGATGAAAGCCGTCTTATCTCTATCACCTTGTTTTATCGGTATCTGCCAGTATCCTGAGCGAAGATCGAGAACCGAAAACACATTCGCACCTTGTAGGCGATCTAAAGTTTCTACCACTGTTGGCATGGCACACGGTCTTAACTCTGTCATACTGTTTAACTGTCGAAAATCAACACAGAATCTATACTTCCCATTCGCTTTTTTTACTAACAGCACTGGAGAGTTGTACGGGCTATCAGCTTCCTCAATAATGTCATCTTTTAACATCTCTTGCACTTGTCGCTCCACTTCGCCTTCCAGATGACATGGAATTTTTTTTCTCAAATGACCTTACTTTCGGATCACTTAACGGAATTTCATGATTCACCTTATCGCAATAACCGTATGGGTCGCCATCTCCAGTGAACAGATGATCGTATTTATTAATTAACTCTGTCACATTGTGTACCGTCGACAGCTTAATCGCTGCTATCTCGCTGGTCTCATACATGTTGATATGCCCGTATTTCGTGATCACCACGTTCGCTTGCGTGTCGATTATTGCACCAATCTCACGCAGAAAATCCGCTCCTAATATCGTTCGCTGTAGTTCGGGTACAACAATGAAAGGAAACGTCACCTCGCAGCCACCAACAACGACCGTACAGTTCGATCTACCCGTGATACGCAACACATACCCGCCTACTGTTTGTACTGTCAATGAACACGGACTAACACTCTTACATAAATTCTTATCTATTAACGACACGGCCGCCCCTGTATCTATCAAACATACTACTTCTCGATCATTCACTCGCAACTTCGAATACAGAGCCCTTTCTCAATAGCCCCCACTAAATCTAGGTTCATACGAAAGAAAGAACAAGCATTATACCGTCTGAAATTTTTTCTTTTTCGCCTTTCTGGGCAGTATCTTCTCCAGTGTCCCGGCTTACCGCATTCAAAACACCGGTCTTTTCTATCAGCCAACTTTAACGCCGCCACTTCCCGCTGCAATGCTTCAATTTTCTGCTCATATTCGTTTGGTTTTGGTTGGTCTATAGCGGCTACCGTTGTGCTCAGCAGCTGTCTGGTCACCTTCGCCAGCTCACTAATATCCATCGGCTGCGTTGCGTTAACCAGTTGTAATCGCTGAGAAATGTGGTCTGGGACACTCTCGATGAATTGGGAAGACAGTAACTGCGCTTCTGATTCTTCATCTAAAGTGGGAAGCGCGCGTCGAAGTAGATTAGTCAGTTTCACCGCCAACACTAGCGGGTCTCCATCAGGTCCAAGCTTCATTGACCGGAACTGCTGCATTGCTAGCTGTCTGTCTGTTTCGCTGTCAAACTCGGACACTAGTCGTTCAACCAATTTCTTCCAAGACGCTGTGCCATTTGACCTGTCTACGCTGTCATATGCAGCCTTCGCTCGGCCTCTCAACAGCGTCCCCAGGACAACTGCCTTCGCCGCCTGCTCCTTGACACCCACCAGCTCAGCAACGGCCTCGAAGTCACGTAAGAAGCTCCGTATGTCTCCTTCTTCAAACGCAGCTGGCCACGGGATCTTCATCTTTTGGAGGCAGCGACACCAAATGTAACAACAGAAGACAAGGGCTGGCAACAGATCGTTTTATTACGAAAATCAACACGTATTTATATATATTTTATGTGCATTAATAAGGCTTATGCAAGCAGAAAAAGGCAGTCTTCTGATTGGTTGTTTCTCGGAAGTTAAGCAGACAAACACAGTCTTATGATTGGTTGTTTTCGATATTTCTCGGAAAGTAGAGCCATCTATCTGCGAATCATATTTGTCCACATTTAAGTTTGCTGTGATTGGTTGTTGAAACAGCCTTGTTCATATTTTCTCACGGCCCATATTAGTGACCTAGACATTAACGTAGATTAGTGTCAACCAATCGGCTAGCAGTCTGCTCTCACCACATGTTTACATAGATTCAATCTAACTGGTTCCAGAATTTCCGCAAGCCATTTAGCGGTAGAGTGATACGGCGAATTCAGCATATCCAATACAGGTCGCAGAGGGACATCATCTTTGTGCACCTTTGGGAGACCATATAAACGAGGGATAGTTGAACCAGAT